GATGAGGTGTCACATGCAGCTTCTGCCTTGAGAACCAGTTTTAAACAGCCCGGCCCCTGCTGTGCCCCCCCTCCCCCTCCAGCCTCTTATAGCTCTTCCCTGACTGGCCTCCTTTTCCCCCACCTGGGCTGGGACGCACGGAGAAGGGGGGCTTGGGCTCCTGTGTCCAGGGTGTTGCTTTACTTGACAGATGCTCCTTAGGCTGTAGTGTCTGGCTTGGAAACCTATGCTGCCACTTCCCAGCTCCGTGAGCTTGGCGAACCACCTTACCCTCTCTGAGCCTCATTAACTTTATCTGTACAATGAAGCTAATAATAGATCTTCACACCTCTTAGGGTTGTTATGAGGCCCAGGTGAGATCACTCGTGTAAAGCTCTTGCCACCTTGCCTAGCACACGGTAAGGACTCAGCCAAGACCACAGTTATCAGCTTTATCATGAACTCCGACTATGGGGGCAAGGTATAGTGAGAAGGATGAGACTGATTAGGACTGGTCCTTGAGGGGATAACAGAGGGTAGATGATAGAGATAAACACAGTCAGTGGTAAATAGTGTTAATACAAGGGCCTGATAGAGTGCCAGGAGAGGAGGAACCAAGGAGGGCTTGCTAGAGGAGGTGCCCTGGAGAGGGAGCAGCATTTGAACTGGTGAACATATAGAATAGGAAAGGGAGAGTAGTTCAGGTTGAGGGACCCAGACTGGTGAGGCAGGGTGTGTGAGGTGTGTGCTCGAGTGCACCTGCCAAGGACTAGAAGAGATGGTCACAGGTACCGATGCACTGAGCACCTACTATGCCAGCCTCAGGGATCTAGGTGCCATTGCTTCAAGGTGCAATTCTACAGTCATCCGAATATTACAGTGGAAGAAGCTGAGGCTCAGATAAATGATCCTAATTAACTTTCCTATTGCTAACGCAGCTTCTAACAGAAATACAATCTGGATCTTAACTGTTGCAAGTAAGCATCTCTGTAGCTAGACAAACGAGTGGGAAATGGTTTCAACAGTGGGTTGGGGGCCAGTTCTCAAGAGGGCTCTGAATGCCACAGAAACAGGGCTGCATTTTACAGCAATGAAATGGCATAAAATGAAGAGGCACTTCCATGGCAGTGGGGAGCCATGGAATGCTCTTGAGCAGGGGATGAGCCTTGAATAGGTAGATCTGCTAATGATTTGGAAAACAGCTGGGTATGAGAGATAGGCTGAAGTTGAAAGGCCAGTTTGGTGGCTGTGGCAATGGGCCGAGGGGGAGGGCCTGGAATGTGGTAGGGAGAGAGGGGTTCATCCCTCAATGGGCCTCAGTTTCTCCATCTGAAAGCTGAAGGGGTTGGACCAAGATCTAAACCCTGCTGTAGCAGTCTCATCATCTGAGTGAACCTCTCCCTAGCTGTGTGGGACCTCAGCACCCTACTGGGCCATTAACCTGTGACGCCCTGTTTATTTACAAGAAATAGCTGCTGAACTTTCAACAGAAGGATGATTTACCATCCCTTCAATGAAAACGCTGGTATTTATTGATGCGAAAGAGGAAGGCAAAAACAAAACAAAACCCCTTGTAGTCATTTCCTACCCTGGTCTCAGTCAAGTGACAGTGATCGCTTGGAACTGTTTAATATTTTGATTGTGGAATGAAGGCAAGAGCCTCTCTAACCCCTATTGTCAGTGCCCCCTCCTTAGAATAAAGCTGGGATCTTAGTCCCAGCCTTAGCTATGCCAATTCCCCAGGTGAGGATGGCACCTCACTGTCCCAGTGGGGAGAGAGAAGCAACCATGGGCATGAGCTGCTTGCCTGGACAGTTGTGAAACCTGTGTCAAAGCCAAGATCTCACCCTTGCCCTATTCATTCATTCAGTACAATATATTGAGCACCTGCTAAATGCCATACACTAAGCTGGGTGTCTGGAATGTAGTGACAGGTCAAGTAGATGGGGACCTCATAGGCGTTTACCTTGGTGGATGGGTGGGGGAATAGACCACACACAAACACACCAATAAGTGAGTAAATTGCAATTTGGGTTAGTGCTCTAAAGAAAACATGGCAAAGATTATTCATAGGTATGAGGGAACCTTCCTTGAGAAATCATGGAGGACATCTCTGAGGAGGTGACCATTAAGCCGAGACCTGAAAGTGAGAAGGAGGTTTCTGGGGAGAGGGAACAACATATGCACAAGACCTGCAGTAGGGCATGGCATATCTGATAAATGAAAAAAAGGCCGGAGTGGCTGGAGTTTGGTGGCCGAGGGGAGAGTGGCTGAGATCAGGGAGGCAGGCAGGGATCAGGTGCTGATGCTCTACAGTCTCAGAGACCTCAAGAAGAAATGTAGATTTCGCTCTAAAAATTGATGAAAAACCTTTGGAAAAATTTTAACTGACTCATCCAACATCTATTCTAGTCCAGCTTCTACTTGTGTGAAACTGGAACATTCCTTCCAGTCTCCGGGCTTCAGTTCTCCATCTGTATGTCTGGTCTCTAACTGTCCAGTTCAGATATTGTAGAATACTAGAGGCTCAGAAGGGAGAAAAAAAAAATGGGCTGGCCAGAATGGTACCATAAGACCTGGTGACCAGCGAGTGATATTTGCAGGGAATCGAACCGGAGGCGGTGTGGCATGCACTGAACTTCCCTCTACCGTCTGAGACAACAGCATTGACACAGGATACACCCCTGCGAGACCCTGTATCTCCATTGCCCAGACGGAGAAGATGAGGCCAAATAGAGGAGACGCTTGGCCTCTTTCTCAGGGAGGGTCTGCAGCCCCACCCAATCCTGTCTACATCTCAGGAGCACTGGTCAGAGTCAGATGCCCCTGGGCGGCAGCTTCCAGCTTCAGAAGGCCAAGGCTTCTGCCTCCTTGGCAGAACGGGCTTACCTGACTCCTGGAGGCAGCCACTTTGCTCAGGAGCCCCCACACCTCCTTTAGCCTTCCCTCTACTGTCTGGGAGTAAACGGAGAGAGAACCTTTCCCTCTGGGCAGTTACTCCTAGGCCCTTTTTCTGCCTGGAGCAACAGTGTCCATATGCCTTTTGAGACTAGAGCCTGAGTTGGGCTCGCAGTCCCTGTGCCCAGAGAGAAGAGATGATTTGTCTGACATCACATAGCCTGGAAGCACCCCCAGGCTCTACCAGTCCTCTGACCCCCACTAGCCCACTTTCTCTGCCTCACACAGTGATGGCCTCTCTCCAAGTCCCTCCTCTAGGGAACCTCCCCATCCATCTCCAAAGTCACCTGATCAACAGGAAGCAACAGCTGGAATAGAGGAGCAGGAAAAGTGGGCTTCCTTCTCCAGGGAACAGACACAGACCTGCAGGACCTGAGGGCCAGTGGCCCCAGACTCCTTCTCTCATATAACCTGATGTAGGCGTCTCAACCGGGCTTATGGATAAAGGTTCTGGGGCCTCTAGAACTCCTGAAATTGTCTGCCGAGTAAGGCAATGTTCTTTTCTAGGGAGAAGATTTGCACTTTCCATCACATTTTTCAAAGGGGTCCTTTTATAACTCAAACAAAGGTACTCGACCCTTCCCTTTCATGTCACTGATGGTAAAACTGAGCCCCAGAAAAGATGACTGATTTAAGAGACGCTGTTTAGAGAACCAGCCCACAGGCTTGGTGGTCAATCTGCCAGGTTTCAAGTCCCAGCCTCACCATGTACAGCTTTTTGCAAGTATTTAACCCCTCTATGCCATCATTTCTTCATCTGAACACTGAGGGTAATAACAGCACCTACTATAATGTTGTAAGAATTACATGAGTTAACACATGCAAGATCTTAGGCCAGTGTCTGGTCCATTAGTAAGTGTTCTATAAATGTTAGCTGTCATAATTTAGCCAAGGTCACAGAAACAAGGGGCAGAGCTGGGCCGTTAGTCCCAGTCGCCCAGGGCCTCTGGAGGCAGATAAGAGGTTCTGTGTCCCTGAGACTCCCAAGAAGGTGGTCTGATTACAGCCAGACCTGTAGCTTGGGATCAAGCCCTCCTCAGCCTCTGCGCCCTGGGTGAGCTGGACGTGTGTGGAGACATGGGGGTGAAGAGAGAGAGGAGGTGGGGAAGTCCCAGGATCGCTCTCAGCTGGGGGAAGGGGAGGAGGGGCTGGACATCAAAGGGTGGGCAGGCCAACTTCCCGCCCACCAGACCAGGTGGCCTTTGTCAGGACAGGCCCGACACAGTCAGGACAATGGGGTATCATGTTCACTTTCCGGCCAACAGGAGTCACTACCGAGCCTAGGCACAGCCTGTTACATGACAAAGGGGGGACCTATAAAGGAGGTCAGGCCGCCCCTCATTAAAGCTGGGCCTTTGTCCTGCCCCCTCCCCGGCCTTTGAAGAGGGTGGATCAGAGAGGCCTGCCTGGGGGCAGGAGGTTCACAGGCTCAGGAGCCAAACAGCAGCCACCTTCCCAACTGCTCCTGCTTTCCCCTCCCCCAGGGTCAAGAGTTCAGGAAGGGCCCTGGCATGGGAAGGTAGGGAGCCCCCCACCCGCCAATCTAACCAAAGAGGCCTCTTTTTCAGTCCAAGATATGACCCACCAATCTCTTCACTGTACAAATGGGGGAACTGAAACCTGGAAAGGAAAGTACCCTGACGGCCTTGTAAAATCAGGGCACCATCCCTTCGGGGCGCGTTTGCAGCCTGTGCTTGGGGTTGGGATAGGGGTGGAAGAAACCGATGAAGACCCGGGCCGTGTCCCTAAAAGAGCCCTGGGATAAAAGTCTGGGACAGCGTTCTAGTCTCTGCCTTGCCACGTAACCCCACGGCGCGGGTCTTCACTTCTCCGGGCTCAGTTTCCCCATCTAGGCAGACAGACAGGTTGCGCTTACTCGAGCTGGGGTCCAGAGGGGAAGCTGAGAGAACAGCCCCCCAGCGAGAGTGGTCGGGGAGCCGCACTCCAGGAACCCAAGCAGAGCCAGGGCAGAGGTCAGACATGGGCGGCTGGTGCCTCGCCCTAGCACCTGCCGGTGCCCCGGGGAACCGTCCGGAGGCGCAAGGCCCGGGAGAGGTCCTTACCGCTGCCACCGCCGCCTCCGGCCGCCACGCTGCGCCGCATCCACTCGTAGGGAGTCCGCCTTTGCGCTCCGGGCGAGGACGGTGCGCCAGGGCCGCCCAGGGGCTGCGCCAGGAGGCCCGGGCCAGGCCCAGGGGGCGCGGGCACCGGGCTAAAGTCCGGAGGGGGCCCGAATGCCAGCGGGACTGGGCTGGCAGCTGGGGCCGCGGGGCCCGGGCCATAGGCAGCGGCCCAGTCGTCCTTGGGCACAGAAAAGGGCGCGCTCCAGGCCGAAGGGGGCGCAGGAGCCGGCTCCACGTGAGAGTAACCGGTGAAGTCGGGATACTGCGGGGGTCCTGGGGGCGGAGGCGGGGGCCCGTAGGCTTGCGGGCCCAGGCCGAGACTCGGGGGCCTGGCGGGGCCCGGGTACACGGGAGAGTCCTTGTCCAGCACATAGCCCACGTACATGGTGGCCGCAGGGCCCCCCGCGCATGCTGGGCCCTGGAGCCGCCGCTGCGGGCCGCCCCGGCGAGCAACAGCTCACCTGAACTCGCCAGCCCCGCCGCCGGGCCGCCCCACCCAGGCCTTTTATAGCCCCGGGCCGCCCGCGGCCCCAGCCGAGGCCGGTTTGCATTTCAAAGCGGGGGGAGCCTCCGGGCCGCGAATCAAAGGGGGAAACCCGTCGGGGGCGGGGGGTTCAAAAGGAGACAAATTGCCACCCCAAGCGGGAGGTGGACGGGCCGGGGCCTGGAGAGGTGGGGACTCGGAGGGCGCATCCTGGGCGAGCGTCCAGGCACACGAGGTGTAGGAGTCTCCCCAGAGGTCGGCGGCCTAGCAGCCGAACACCTCTATCTCCCCGCAGAGTAAAGGGATCCAGGGGCTGCATGGAGACCCCAGGCCGGCGTCACACAGCCACACCAGGCCCATGGCACACTCCACAGTGACCAGCTTGGGGGGGGGGGGGCAACCTGACTTCAAACAGGGTTCCTGTCTGTAAGGGAGCAGTGTTCTTCATATTTGGGGGGCAGGGGTCACGACCCTTCTGAGTCTCAGATGAAAGCTGTGTATGTTTTTACTGGAAAATGCACATATATGCACGTCGGAGTCCCTCAGGAGGTGGGGTAGGGCATTCTAAGGCACTTCTCACGTCTTCCGGCCATCCTCCACCCCCTTTATTTTCACAGGAGCTTTCAAACATACACAAAGGTAGAATTGTATAGTGAGTTGCTATATAACCATCACCCAGCTTTGACTATTATCAAGATTTCTTTCATCTCCTCCCCTCCTTTTTTTTTTTTTGCTAAAGTATTTTAAAACAAATTTCAAGCATGTCATTTTACCCCACACACTTCAGCATGCATCTCTAAAGCACGTGGGCATTTTCTTACATAATATGCCAGTATCACATCTAACACAATTAACACACAATCCGGGCTATTATCTAGCACCCAACCCCCAATTAAAGACTGGCAAACATTTCACAGTGACCCAGGTGGAGGGGGCAGGTAGACACTTGAGGGGCCATGAATGAACTGGGAGTGGGGAAACAGGTTGAGGGATCTGAGGAAGAATTCACGAAGGACAGGGCTCTGAGTCAGGAAGTCTGGGGAAGTCGGGTTGTCTCCCCACAGGAGGTTCAGTGCCAAGGAGAGCTGCTCTGACATTTCCAGGGGCCCTCCAGATGTGCAGGGACATGCGGCCCCCAGAAGTAGACAGAATGAGACAGGCTCTTATCTATTCAACCTGTCTCTCCCTTGAGTCACCACACTGGCCTGGGGCAGGTCAGCATCATCTCGGGGCGAGGCAGACAAGATCAGGAGGCCATTGGCAAGGCCCATGTGAGATCCCGCATTCAAAAATTATTAAGCATTTCAAGATGGTAACAGCAGAGTGTTCAACCAAGCATGAGGCCCTTCTAAACACTGGGTCTGGTGTGACGGCACAGGTGACCTGCTCATGAAACTGGCCCTGGTTAGGATCTTGTTCTTCTGGGGCTCTGATGGGTACAGAGTGGGGACAGGAAGCCCAGGAGGCCCCTTCCTGCTCAGGAATTCTTGCCATTGCACAGGTGGAAACACCGAGGCCTAGAAAGGAAAGAGGTTGTGCCCAAGTTTATGAACAAAACGAAAGCTGCTCTTGGAGAGGGGGAGGGGCTGCCCGGGTTGTGGCTGACATGGATGAGCACAAGGCTGCCTCAGCAGGGACGGCCTCTTCCCTGTGTCAGGAAGTGGATGTGTTGGTAAAATTTTATTCAGCGTTCATGTCAAGTCTTGCAAGAGGTCAGTGAGAGAATGGAAAGGTACAGAGAAAGGAGAACTGGGCTCACCTTTCGGATCTGATGTGACTGGGGCTGCTCAGGCTGGAGGAAGACAAGACCTGGAGTGAGCCTTGAAGGTCTGAGTTTGGGGAATGGGACAGAGAGCAGACCTGGGACCGGGAGAAAGAAAGCTGCAATCACAGACATGGATCTCAACCTATCCATAATCAAGTGCTCTCTAAAGGGCCATCCATCAGCTAATGGGTTGTCATGAAAAAGAGAGTGAACTCACCATCACAGGAGGTATGTAAGTGACTATTAAAGTCCCTGGTCAGGGATGCTGCAGAGAGGATGCCTATCCTGGGAGTGCGGGGGCGGGGTGAGAAGGTTAGTGCCCTTAAGGTGCCATCTGATTCCAAAAATATGCTAAATCAGACCTAGATGGAAGGCTTAAAGGTTGGGAAAAGGTATAGGTATTCATTTGTTCATTCACTTAAAAAGTAGATATTAATGCTCCTCCTTTTGCTGACACTGTTAGGTCCAGGGAGAGGGAAGGGGAGATACAGATATGAATCAAATAATCACAAACAAAGGTAAAATTACATCTTGGTGAGGGCCAGGAATCCATAGTTTTGACCCAAAGGGAGAAGACATGAATGTCTTGCAAGAGGAGGTGACATATGAGTCAAAGCCCTGGGAGTAGGGAAGGGCATTGTGGGCAGAGGGACAATGTTGGGGCCCGAGGGGACACATGGTTCCCTAGAACTGAAAGACCAGTTTGTAGTTCAATGATGGGAGCCTGAGACAGGGGGCAGGAGAGGAGTCTGGGGAAGAGTGGAGCAAGGCCCTGGGGGCCAGGCCTGAGGAAGGGCGTGGGAAGTGGTTATCAAGGGTGAGAGCGAGCGGGAAGATGGCTGAGGCTGGTGTGTGGAGAAAGAGCTAGAGGAGGCTCGAGGGGGCAGAGAGCAGTTGGGAAGCTGGGCAGGACTCCAGGAGTGAAGAAGACAGTGTCCAGGACTTGGGTGGTGGCTGAGAAATGGGGGACTTTCCGGGCAAAGCAGGGTCTATTTCCCTGTTCAGGGAGAGTGCAGAGCCAGGGAGCCCTGCGGTCTAGGGGGGCCCATCCCAGCAGCTCCATGGTCCGTCCCCTCAGTGCTGTCCTCTCCCAGGATAGACTCACCTCCTACTCCACAGACACCCCTAGGGGGAGCCCCCCAGCCCTCTGCTCCCCTGCCTGCTATCTCCTAAACCCTGGGTGTTGGGAAGGATGGGGGAAATTGGTTCCATTTGCTGGATGATGAAAGGAAGCACAGAGAGGTCCAAGTACTTGGCCAAGGTCACACAGGTGCAGGGCTGGGTATTGAAGCTGGATCTCCTGGCTCCACTGGCCTTTCTCTGCCCAGACAGATGACCTGAGGGGTCCTCAGCCCAGCCCTGCTGACCCTCCAATCCACCTAGGGTAGAAGAGTAGGGGCATCAGAGATCCACAGCATGTTGACCATGGAAGACCCTCAAAGACCCAACCCACTCCCTTGACAGGTAGGGAAACAAAGGCCCAGAAGCCTAAAGAAAGAAGGTTTCGTTTATTTTTTCTAAGTTCCCACAGCAGGTCAATGTTGTATTGGAAAGAGACCTAGGTCTTATGACTCCCAGTGTATTGCTCCTTCACTGTATCTCTCTGAGATTGCAGAGTTGGGCCCTTTTCTAGGGTAATAATAATAGCAGGACTATTTATTGAGCATTTACTAAGTGCCAGGTATCATGCCAAGTTGTTTGCATGTACAGGTATTGCCCCACTTTTTGGCAAGTTTGCTTTACACCACTTTGTTTTTAGGAAAAACTTATATTATTACCTGCTTTTGCTGACAGAAAGACAGAGGATTCTAGCTTTCAAGGAAGAAGGCAAAGAGTGAAGCAGTCAGCATCCGTTTTGCAGCGAGCCAGCACAGAGGCAGTGTGTGCACCCTGAGCAGTGAGAGTGGCCTTGCCAAGCTCCTTCCCCAAGAACTAGGCTCAGCGTCTCAGCATCCAGCTGCCACAGCTCTGAACTGTGTCTGCGAGCATCTGTGTGGCATCCCGATTCATTCTGTGCACCCGTTAGCAAGATGTGTCCTAAGGTTATTGCTTCTTTGCTTTATAATATTTCAGCTTAAGAAATGTTTCATAGGAATGCTCTGCTTTCTGACGGGGGTGGGGGGACCTGTATGATCTCAATTCATCCTCAGGGAGGTAGAATTTGATTGTTATCTCTATTCTGCAGATGAAGCACCTGGAGCTCAGAGAAGTGAAGTCACCTGCCTCAGGCCACCCGGCAAGTCAGCGGCCTATGTGGAAGCTCTTTCCCCTCCAGTTGAGCCAGCCTGGGAGGATAGTGAGCATCCCCACCCCCATCCCGGGGTTTTGCTTAAACAAAATACCTGGTTCTTCTTCCTCCTCTGGCTTGGTCATGCAAAAGAGCCTCAGCTCTCCCTTGTGGCCACTTCTAGGTGGACCACCCCTCATCAGAGACCTGAGCCAGCCCTGATGTGACACCCCGGCTTCTCCTTCCTGAGGAAACTGTAACTTGGGTTAAAAGTTCCAGGCTGGGTGGCTGAAATCGCACGTCCTTCCGTACCTGTCCCCTGACTTGCTCTTACCTCCCTGGGCCTCAGTGCCCCCATGTGACCACCAGGGACTGGGTTGCTCAGACAGTGGTCCAGCCGCTGTGCGGTGACCGTGTGTGGGTGGAGGAGCACCACCCCCCTCTGTCCGCGTTGTGGCAGCCTCTTCCTCTCTGACAGCCCCTTATCTCTGGGAGCGGCTGTTTATTGGACCTCTCCTTCCCTCTGGCTCCCCGGGTGGGCCCCTCTTCCCTCTGGAAGCCCTCCCTCTGAGCTGCTCCCACACATCCCCACCAGGGCCGCCTGGGGTGGGGTGCAGAGAGGATGGCCCATAAAGATCTTGGTGATAAGTTGGTTTTTAAATCAGGTTTATGACCCTGGTAGAGAAAAGGTTCTGGGCTCAGCTTTCCCTTGGGAGTGGTTTGCTTAAGAGTAGCTGGTGGGCCCTGGCCAGTTTGGCTCAGCAGTTAGAGCGTCGGCCTGTGGACCAATGAGTCACGGGTTTGATTCCAGTCAAGGGCACGTACCTTGGTTGCGGTTTGTCCCTGGCCCTGGTCGGGTCCTGCAGGAGGCAACCAGTCGCTGTGTCTCTCTCACATCAATGTTTCTCTCTGTCTCTTTCTCTCCCTTCCTCCCACTCTGTCTAATGATAAATAAAAAAATATCCTCTGGTGAGGAATTAAAAAAAAACACAAACAGAGTAGCTG